TAATGTTACATAATACCACAGCCATTACATACCCCAACTACACACCATATACCTGTATACCAGGCATGTAATGTTACATAATACCACAGCCATTACATACCCCAACTACACACCATATACCTGTATACCAGGTATGTAATGTTACATAATACCACAGCCATTACATACCCCAACTACACACCATATACCTGTATACCAGGTATGTAATGTTACATAATACCACAGCCATTACATACCCCAACTACACACCATATACCTGTATACCAGGTATGTAATGTTACATAATACCACAGCCATTACATACCCCAACTACACACCATATACCTGTATACCAGGTATGTAATGTTACATAATACCACAGCCATTACATACCCCAACTACACACCATATACCTGTATACCAGGTATGTAATGTTACATAATACCACAGCCATTACATACCCCAACTACACACCATATACCTGTATACCAGGTATGTAATGTTACATAATACCACAGCCATTACATACCCCAACTACACACCATATACCTGTATACCACAGCCATTACATACCCCAACTACACACCATATACCTGTATACCAGGTATGTAATGTTACATAATACCACAGCCATTACATACCCCAACTACACACCATATACCTGTATACCAGGTATGTAATGTTACATAATACCACAGCCATTACATACCCCAACTACACACCATATACCTGTATACCACAGCCATTACATACCCCAACTACACACCATATACCTGTATACCAGGTATGTAATGTTACATAATACCACAGCCATTACATACCCCAACTACACACCATATACCTGTATACCAGGCATGTAATGTTACATAATACCACAGCCATTACATACCCCAACTACACACCATATACCTGTATACCAGGTATGTAATGTTACATAATACCACAGCCATTACATACCCCAACTACACACCATATACCTGTATACCAGGTATACCACAGCCATTACATACCCCAACTACACACCATATTCCTGTATACCAGGTATGTAATGTTACATAATACCACAGCCATTACATACCCCAACTACACACCATATACCTGTATACCAGGTATACCACAGCCATTACATACCCCAACTACACACCATATACCTGTATACCAGGTATGTAATGTTACATAATACCACAGCCATTACATACCCCAACTACACACCATATACCTGTATACCAGGTATGTAATGTTACATAATACCACAGCCATTACATACCCGAACTACACACCATATACCTGTATACCAGGTATGTAATGTTACATAATACCACAGCCATTACATACCCCAACTACACACCATATACCTGTATACCAGGTATGTAATGTTACATAATACCACAGCCATTACATACCCGAACTACACACCATATACCTGTATACCAGGTATGTAATGTTACATAATACCACAGCCATTACATACCCCAACTACACACCATATACCTGTATACCAGGTATGTAATGTTACATAATACCACAGCCATTACATACCCCAACTACACACCATATACCTGTATACCAGGTATGTAATGTTACATAATACCACAGCCATTACATACCCCAACTACACACCATATACCTGTATACCAGGTATGTAATGTTACATAATACCACAGCCATTACATACCCGAACTACACACCATATACCTGTATACCAGGTATGTAATGTTACATAATACCACAGCCATTACATACCCCAACTACACACCATATACCTGTATACCAGGCATGTAATGTTACATAATACCACAGCCATTACATACCCCAACTACACACCATATACCTGTATACCAGGTATGTAATGTGCTGGTTACATAATACCACAGCCATTACATACCCCAACTACACACCATATACCTGTATACCACAGCCATTACATACCCCAACTACACACCATATACCTGTATACCAGGTATGTAATGTGCTGGTTACATAATACCACAGCCATTACATACCCCAACTACACACCATATACCTGTATACCACAGCCATTACATACCCCAACTACACACCATATACCTGTATACCAGGTATGTAATGTTACATAATACCACAGCCATTACATACCCGAACTACACACCATATACCTGTATACCAGGTATGTAATGTGTGTCATGTTGAAAAGGAAGCAACACAAATACCTCAGAACAAGTGCTGAATCGTTGGATCTGTACTTCTGGAACCCGAACAAAAGTAGTAAGTAATTTTCATAAGTAGTAAGTAATGTTCATAAGTAGAAAGTTATATGTATACCTTAGTGTTATTGTAGAAAAGACAGGCTTCCTCTCCAGACTGAACTATATTATGCTGTTATAATGGAACCATACATTATAACAGTATAACAACTACTCTCAGGTACATTATAGGGCTTATCCTTTAGTTTGAGAAGGTATTTTGGTTGCTTAGATTATATAGCTTAGGGTACTTATTTGATAATTATAGTTATTTGGCTATTAGTATTGTGTAATGTGTATGCGTGTTTGATGAAGCATTTCTAATGTTTCGTAGATATTAACATAGGCTCAATTTGCATATGAATATAGCTTGTATTATCAGAAATCAGTCGCCTTCAAACGTTGGAGTCTATCCGTTAGCATAATTAATTGCAATGCTTCGAGCTATGATAACAATCACCAATTAGGCGGACACCGAATTAATTCCAATACATACTGCGCGGAGTAATCTGTCTTTAGTAAATTGGTTTTACTCGCGATGGAAAACGTTAAATAACGAAACTAGCACTGAAGTATAACGAAAGAAGAAGCACAGTTACAGACGAAGCACGAGATACTGTGCTGCTTGTGAAACAAAACTAGAAAACGAGCTTGTGCTAGTTGTCATGCCTCTGCACCGTCACAATTAATTATTATTGTTGCTTTGACAAGGAGCCTGACCAAGCTTCCGTACCACTTCAGTTACGTCATCTCACATGTTGCCGTCTAGCTGGGGTGCCGTCTAGCTGGGGTGCCGTCTAGCTGGGTTGCCGTCTAGCTGGGGTGCCGTCTAGCTGGGGTGCCGTCTAGCTGTGGTGCCGTCTAGCTGGGGTGCCGTCTAGCTGGGGTGCCGTCTAGCTGGGGTGCCGTCTAGCTGGGTTGCCGTCTAGCTGGGGTGCCGTCTAACTGGGGTGCCGTCTAGCTGGGGTGCCGTCTAGCTGGGGTGCCGTCTAGCTGGGGTGCCGTCTAACTGGGGTGCCGTCTAGCTGGGGTGCCGTCTAGCTGGGGTGCCGTCTAGCTGGGGTGCCGTCTAGCTGGGGTGCCGTCTAGCTGGGGTGCCGTCTAGCTGGGGTGCCGTCTAGCTGGGGTGCCGTCTAGCTGGGGTGCCGTCTAGCTGTGGTGCCGTCTAGCTGGGGTGCCGTCTAGCTGGGGTGCCGTCTAGCTGGGGTGCCGTCTAGCTGGGGTGCCGTCTAGCTGGGGTGCCGTCTAGCTGGGGTGCCGTCTAGCTGGGGTGCAGTCCAGCTGGGGTGCCGTCTAGCTGGGGTGCCGTCTAGCTGGGGTGCCGTCTAGCTGGGGTGCCGTCTATCTGGGGTGCCGTCTAGCTGGGGTGCCGTCTAGCTGGGGTGCCGTCTAGCTGGGGTGCCGTCTAGCTGGGGTGCCGTCTAGCTGGGGTGCCGTCTAGCTGTGGTGCCGTCTAGCTGGGGTGCCGTCTAGCTGGGGTGCCGTCTAGCTGGGGTGCCGTCTAGCTGGGGTGCCGTCTAGCTGGGGTGCCGTCTAGCTGGGGTGCCGTCTAGCTGGGGTGCCGTCTAGCTGGGGTGCCGTCTAGCTGTGGTGCCGTCTAGTTGTGGTGCCGTCTAGCTGTGGTGCCGTCTAGCTGGGGTGCCGTCTAGCTGTGGTGCCGTCTAGCTGTGGTGCCGTCTAGCTGGGGTGCCGTCTAGCTGGGGTGCCGTCTAGCTGGGGTGCCGTCTAGCTGTGGTGCCGTCTAGCTGGGGTGCCGTCTAGCTGGGGTGCCGTCTAGCTGGGGTGCCGTCTAGCTGGGGTGCCGTCTAGCTGGGGTGCCGTCTAGCTGGGGTGCCGTCTAGCTGGGGTGCCGTCTAGCTGGGGTGCCGTCTAGCTGGGGTGCCGTCTAGCTGGGGTGCCGTCTAGCTGGGGTGCCGTCTAGCTGGGGTGCCGTCTAGCTGGGGTGCCGTCTAGCTGGGGTGCCGTCTAGCTGGGGTGCCGTCTAGCTGGGGTGCCGTCTAGCTGGGGTGCCGTCTAGCTGGGGTGCCGTCTAGCTGTGGTGCCGTCTAGCTGGGGCGCCGTCTAGCTGGGGCGCCGTCTAGCTGTGGTGCCGTCTAGCTGGGGTGCCGTCTAGCTGTGGTGCCGTCTAGCTGGGGTGCCGTCTAGCTGGGGTGCCGTCTAGCTGGGGTGCCGTCTAGCTGTGGTGCCGTCTAGCTGGGGTGCCGTCTAGCTGGGGTGCCGTCTAGCTGGGGTGCCGTCTAGCTGGGGCGCCGTCTAGCTGTGGTGCCGTCTAGCTGGGGTGCCGTCTAGCTGTGGTGCCGTCTAGCTGGGGTGCCGTCTAGCTGGGGTGCCGTCTAGCTGGGGTGCCGTCTAGCTGGGGTGTCAAGTGCCAGGAGCAAGAAACTTCCTGTTTATAGCTGGCAATACATCAAACAAGCTTAATCTACCAGCTTTTCACAGATCTCTAACACAAGCATTCGACAGAGAAATTAATGCTACTGGTGGTGTGACCCGTAATTAATGTCACTCCAAACCACGTGACATATGGTTAATATAACTGTGACACTGGGTCTCATGCTTTTAGACGATTATTCGTCAGACCACCAGATTACAGTGCATAATCATGGTTTGGGTACCGCTATAATTAATGAGATCTACGCAGAATTAATCATGAAAATTGCGCTCAGATGATCAAATCTCAGGTTTATTGGATTAAACCACAAAATCACGAAGGAAAATGCTGAAATGACCAAGTTAACCGCTAGATTACAACTCAATTGATAAATCTTGCTCGGAAATAACCATGAAATCTGCTCTCAGGTCATAAAATCCCGTCACGAACGTCTGGTGGTGGAGGTGTTGGAAAGTCTGAAGTTTTACGTAAAGAATCACGGAGAGATAATGGAGCATCTTTCCTGGGACGCCATGTTGACGGTTATAGAAGACATTGTCAATCAGGTTATAATGGAGTAACATGTTTTGTGCTTATCGAACTGATTTTATGATAAGTTATATTTTATGATAAGTAATGGTTGTAACGAAATGGACATTGAATCCAAATACGATGCTTATTATAACTAATAATAAGTATCTTAGTAAATGTCCATTTCGTAACAACAAGGTATTGTGAGACGACGAATCGTATTACATGTATAATATCATATTAGTTAAATGAAGATGGAGCGATTGTAAAACCCTCGCTTGCACACCGAACACCCAGTAAATAACTACTTTTAAAACTACTGACTCTAATCTGACCTCAAAATTCTACAATTCAAATCATTCAAGTACAAAGGGAAGCAAATACCCAAAATTCGACGTACATGCATATATATATATATATCAGATCTATTTATAACAGGGACAAAAGGAAATCGCGGCATGTACGGAATCGCGATTTTTCCCATTATATGCGACAAATTTTATGTATAGTTTAATGTATAGTCTGTTAAAATTCGCGGTATCGCGATTTTTGGCCAAAATAATCGCGAAATCCTTTTGTCCCTGATTTATAACCTACGAAACAAAGCAAATAACGGTGGCTAACAATGCTGGGCAGAGTCACCTACATTAGCTTATATATCTGTTTTCTGAGTCCAGGGCCAGGACGCTAATGATATTAGCTGTACTCGTGTATCTGGTCATGCAATCACTCTCGTGACTTGCATACACTCAATAATGGCACCTCGGTAATGACCATATTGTGTGTATATTAGGATAATTATGATTAATTATTTAAATGCTTTTGGTTTTTTCATAATTTTGAGTGCTTTATGATTCTGATGCAGATGATTGATGGACAATAAAGCTATTGTCTTTAACAAAAGCGGCATATTTGTATAACCCATTTAAAAACTACTTGAAGATTACATCGCACTATCTATATAAATGTATAATATATCTTCAATTTTAAGGATTGAAAAGTATATCTCCAAAATTCACTTAAAAATTCACTAACCACTCCCACTGTCCTCAGCAAAGTGAGCAGAAGTTCCAGAACAAGCAAGTGCTAGTACCGCTGAACTCTCTGCTGAGCGAGGCTGAGCGGCTGTACAGTCACCCTGACTTTATTAATTGCAAGGATAGGTTCTACGATATCATAGAGCTCTGTGTAGACGTCCGACCGGTCAGTAAAGTGGGGGGCAGGGGCGGGGGGGGGGGGGGAGGCGGGGGGAGGGGTCTCCAGGGGGGAGGGGTCTCCAGGGGGGAGGGGGGGAGGGGGCCGGGGGGGATTGGTTAGAGCAAAAAGACTATGACTCTTAAGCAAACCGAAAACAAGATATGCCAGTCTCACAAATATGTTTTTAAGTTTATTCAACATAATATTATGTCCTTTGTTTAACTAAGGCTTACCAAAGCCGTTCATAGACTTGTTAGCTTTGACTCTTTGATCTATTCTATTCTTAGACACCGTCATCACACATTACAGCTGTGTTGCTATAATTAGGCTAGAGGTTTGGGGTGGGGTGGCTCCTCAATGTTTCTCTGCTGCTCTCGGCAATATGAATTTGTACTTGGTATTGCATGGCAAAGTAAGTTTTTTCTGGGCTTCATTAGCTAGTAGTATTGCAGCATGGTTTGTAATATAAGGGGGAATTTGACTAAATAAATATGTCATGCATTCTTGTAGATTCAAATTACTAACACTTACTAACTTTATAAATAACCGTACAGATACGGTTATTTATAAAGTATATTATATACGAAAACCCCCAAGATCGAGTCAATAAACAACCTGATGGAGAAGAAAGTGCGTCTGATAGTTCCAGGAGTACTAAACTGGTCAGATAATCTGGTTCAGTTCATGGAAGACTTTTACTACACCACCAGGCCGGAGTGGATCAGGATGAACGCGCTAGAGAAGTGCTGGGATGTTGTGGACCAGTTCTATGAACTGTACGAGGTAAGTAGTATACTACTGATGAGGTACGGACAGGGATGTAGGAAGCAGGTGGGGGGGGGGGTACGGACAGGGGTGTAGGAAGCAGGTGGGGGGGGGGGGGGGGGGTACGGACAGGGGTGTAGGAAGCAGGTGGGGGGGGGGTACGGACAGGGGTGTAGGAAGCAGGGGGGAGGCAGGGGTACGGACAGGGGTGTAGGAAGCAGGGGGGAGGCAGGGGTACGGACAGGGGTGTAGGAAGCAGGGGGGGGGGGGGGTACGGACAGGGGTGTAGGAAGCAGGTGGGGGGGGGGGGGGTACGGACAGGGGTGTAGGAAGCAGGGGGGAAGGCAGGGGTACGGACAGGGGTGTAGGAAGCGGGGGGGGGGGAGGCAGGGGTATGGACAGGGGTGTAGGAAGCGGGGGGGGAGGCAGGGGTACGGACAGGGGTGTAGGAAGCGGGGGGGGGGGGGGGGGCTCGGCTGGGGAGGGGGGGGGGGGGGGGCAGGGGTGTAGGAAGCGGGGGGGGGCAGGGGTACGGACAGGGGTGTAGGAAGCGGGGGGGGGGGGGGAGGAGGCAGGGGTACGGACCACCAGGGAATGTCTTAATGAAGCTGATTGCTTGAAGTGTTTTATTCTGTATTTTGTTTCGAGTTGGAACTTATAGTAATTTTACTCAATGTTAGATGAATAAACCAGAATTTGCTGCGAATTAAGCTATTCAGGTCCCAATATCTCCCCAGAAACTCCCCTGAAACTCCCCAGAAATGTCCCTGAAACTCCCCTGAAACTCCCCAGAACTATTATAGCGCTTTGTAATAACAACTCCCCCCCCCCCCCCCCCCCCCGTTCAGGAGGAGTTATTAGAGAAAGTTGTGCTGAAAGTACTGCAGTTAGTACACAACGACCCCAACACAGCGGTGAGACACAGGGCTGTACAGTTCCTGGTCAGGTTGTGTTACAGGTGTTATTCAGACAAGTTCTACCACATTGTCAACATCATTCTCAAGGTACGTAATCAGTTGATTAGTTGGTGATCAGCTAATTAGTTTAGGATCTTATGGTGAATGTTTAATTCAGATTTTTGGTCATTTTAAAGATAACAGTATTTCTTATCTCTTGAGTTTGTCACGTGATATTGAAATGAAAGTGTTGAAGAGTAATGTTACACGTGTTACACTGTTAACAAGTTAAGTTAACACTACAGCTAATCGTGCAAAGTACGGTGTACACGCCGCCACATTACGGAATTCCGCGGTAACTTTATCTCTTCCTTAACTGTATACAGTTTACTAGTTTAGGTTACGTATTCCTCCCTGTACTTCTTGTATTGTTGTAGTGCGGCGATGTTAACTGTTATCAGCTGTTTTGTTAGGTGATATCAGTAGTTGTAGTGTGGCGATGTTAACTGTTATCAGCTGTTTTGTTAGGTGATATCAGTAGTTGTACTGTTATCAGCTGTTTTGTTAGGTGATATCAGTAGTTGTAGTGTTATCAGCTGTTTTGTTAGGTGATATCAGTAGTTGTGTTAACTGTTATCAGCTGTTTTGTTAGGTGATATCAGTAGTTGTGCAGCAAAACGAGGAGAACGAGAGTATACTCATCTGTGATGAACTCATCAATCTCTTCCTGCACAAGGTACTTTTATTCATTGTACTAATTACTTGAATTAGCCAGCAATTAGCCAGCAATTAGCCACAAGACAGCACAGAGCGAACCTATATAATAACAAGGTTCACCAACTCACCAGGTTAGGTGAAACACAGTCTGTGGTTGACTGGGATTGGAAATCCCGCCGAGACAGGGATTGCATCCAGCCAAGTACTGCGATATGGTCCAAGCCGGCGGGATCCGGAATTTTGATAAAATTTCATGATGAAAATCAATAAAATAAAATGATTGTCAAATTAAAACAGAACATTAAAAAAAATACAATTTATGATAACGTCACAACTTTTTAGAAGAACCAAGTTTCAAATATCTAATGACTATTTAACTAAAATACACAGAATAAAGCCGACAGTATTGAACAGACACGCTGCAACTGCTCCTATAATTGTAGGAACTTCACTTGCTATTTAACTAAAATACACAGAATAAAGCCGACAGTATTGAACAGACACGCTGCAACTGCTCCTATAATTGTAGGAACTTCACTTGCTATTTAACTAAAATACACAGAATAAAGCCGACAGTATTGAACAGACACGCTGCAACTGCTCCTATAATTGTAGGAACTTCACTTGCTATTTAACTAAAATACACAGAATAAAGCCGACAGTATTGAACAGACACGCTGCAACTGCTCCTATAATTGTAGGAACTTCACTTGCTATTTAACTAAAATACACAGAATAAAGCCGACAGTATTAAACAGACACGCTGCAACTGCTCCTATAATTGTAGGAACTTCACTTGCTATTTAACTAAAATACACAGAATAAAGCCGACAGTATTAAACAGACGCGCTGCAACTGCTCCTATAATTGTAGGAACTTCACTTGCTATTTAACTAAAATACACAGAATAAAGCCGACAGTATTGAACAGACACGCTGCAACTGCTCCTATAATTGTAGGAACTTCACTTGCTATTTAACTAAAATACACAGAATAAAGCCGACAGTATTGAACAGACACGCTGCAACTGCTCCTATAATTGTAGGAACTTCACTTGCTATTTAACTAAAATACACAGAATAAAGCCGACAGTATTGAACAGACACGCTGCAACTGCTCCTATAATTGTAGGAACTTCACTTGCTATTTAACTAAAATACACAGAATAAAGCCGACAGTATTGAACAGACACGCTGCAACTGCTCCTATAATTGTAGGAACTTCACTTGCTATTTAACTAAAATACACAGAATAAAGCCGACAGTATTGAACAGACACGCTGCAACTGCTCCTATAATTGTAGGAACTTCACTTGCTATTTAACTAAAATACACAGAATAAAGCCGACAGTATTGAACAGACACGCTGCAACTGCTCCTATAATTGTAGGAACTTCACTTGCTATTTAACTAAAATACACAGAATAAAGCCGACAGTATTGAACAGACACGCTGCAACTGCTCCTATAATTGTAGGAACTTCACTTGCTATTTAACTAAAATACACAGAATAAAGCCGACAGTATTGAACAGACACGCTGCAACTGCTCCTATAATTGTAGGAACTTCACTTGCTATTTAACTAAAATACACAGAATAAAGCCGACAGTATTAAACAGACACGCTGCAACTGCTCCTATAATTGTAGGAACTTCACTTGCTATTTAACTAAAATACACAGAATAAAGCCGACAGTATTAAACAGACACGCTGCAACTGCTCCTATAATTGTAGGAACTTCACTTGCTATTTAACTAAAATACACAGAATAAAGCCGACAGTATTGAACAGACACGCTGCAACTGCTCCTATAATTGTAGGAACTTCACTTGCTATTTAACTAAATACACAGAATAAAGCCGACAGTATTGAACAGACACGCTGCAACTGCTCCTATAATTGTAGGAACTTCACTTGCTATTTAACTAAAATACACAGAATAAAGCCGACAGTATTAAACAGACACGCTGCAACTGCTCCTATAATTGTAGGAACTTCACTTGCTATTTAACTAAAATACACAGAATAAAGCCGACAGTATTAAACAGACACGCTGCAACTGCTCCTATAATTGTAGGAACTTCACTTGCTATTTAACTAAAATACACAGAATAAAGCCGACAGTATTGAACAGACACGCTGCAACTGCTCCTATAATTGTAGGAACTTCACTTGCTATTTAATTAAAATACACAGAATAAAGCCGACAGTATTGAACAGACACGCTGCAACTGCTCCTATAATTGTAGGAACTTCACTTGCTATTTAACTAAAATACACAGAATAAAGCCGACAGTATTGAACAGACACGCTGCAACTGCTCCTATAATTGTAGGAACTTCACTTGCTATTTAACTAAAATACACAGAATAAAGCCGACAGTATTAAACAGACACGCTGCAACTGCTCCTATAATTGTAGGAACTTCACTTGCTATTTAACTAAAATACACAGAATAAAGCCGACAGTATTGAACAGACACGCTGCAACTGCTCCTATAATTGTAGGAACTTCACTTGCTATTTAACTAAAATACACAGAATAAAGCCGACAGTATTGAACAGACACGCTGCAACTGCTCCTATAATTGTAGGAACTTCACTTGCTATTTAACTAAAATACACAGAATAAAGCCGACAGTATTAAACAGACACGCTGCAACTGCTCCTATAATTGTAGGAACTTCACTTGCTATTTAACTAAAATACACAGAATAAAGCCGACAGTATTGAACAGACACGCTGCAACTGCTCCTATAATTGTAGGAACTTCACTTGCTATTTAACTAAAATACACAGAATAAAGCCGACAGTATTAAACAGACACGCTGCAACTGCTCCTATAATTGTAGGAACTTCACTTGCTATTTAACTAAAATACACAGAATAAAGCCGACAGTATTGAACAGACACGCTGCAACTGCTCCTATAATTGTAGGAACTTCACTTGCTATTTAACTAAAATACACAGAATAAAGCCGACAGTATTAAACAGACACGCTGCAACTGCTCCTATAATTGTAGGAACTTCACTTGCTATTTAACTAAAATACACAGAATAAAGCCGACAGTATTAAACAGACACGCTGCAACTGCTCCTATAATTGTAGGAACTTCACTTGCTATTTAACTAAAATACACAGAATAAAGCCGACAGTATTGAACAGACACGCTGCAACTGCTCCTATAATTGTAGGAACTTCACTTGCTATTTAACTAAAATACACAGAATAAAGCCGACAGTATTGAACAGACACGCTGCAACTGCTCCTATAATTGTAGGAACTTCACTTGCTATTTAACTAAAATACACAGAATAAAGCCGACAGTATTGAACAGACACGCTGCAACTGCTCCTATAATTGTAGGAACTTCACTTGCTATTTAACTAAAATACACAGAATAAAGCCGACAGTATTAAACAGACACGCTGCAACTGCTCCTATAATTGTAGGAACTTCACTTGCTATTTAACTAAAATACACAGAATAAAGCCGACAGTATTGAACAGACACGCTGCAACTGCTCCTATAATTGTAGGAACTTCACTTGCTATTTAACTAAAATACACAGAATAAAGCCGACAGTATTGAACAGACACGCTGCAACTGCTCCTATAATTGTAGGAACTTCACTTGCTATTTAACTAAAATACACAGAATAAAGCCGACAGTATTAAACAGACACGCTGCAACTGCTCCTATAATTGTAGGAACTTCACTTGCTATTTAACTAAAATACACAGAATAAAGCCGACAGTATTAAACAGACACGCTGCAACTGCTCCTATAATTGTAGGAACTTCACTTGCTATTTAACTAAAATACACAGAATAAAGCCGACAGTATTGAACAGACACGCTGCAACTGCTCCTATAATTGTAGGAACTTCACTTGCTATTTAACTAAAATACACAGAATAAAGCCGACAGTATTGAACAGACACGCTGCAACTGCTCCTATAATTGTAGGAACTTCACTTGCTATTTAACTAAAATACACAGAATAAAGCCGACAGTATTGAACAGACACGCTGCAACTGCTCCTATAATTGTAGGAACTTCACTTGCTATTTAACTAAAATACACAGAATAAAGCCGACAGTATTGAACAGACACGCTGCAACTGCTCCTATAATTGTAGGAATCTCACTTGCTCTAGTGACAACCAAACCACTGAGCACTATTCCCACTGCTTGTGATATAGATACGGAGAAGTTGAAAACTGCTGTAGATCGCTCAGCCAAGTTTCCGTCAGTTTTCACGCCCCACATTTCATACAAACTGAATTTACTCATAATGGCTATGTTTAAAACTGCTGCGTTACCAATTCCAATAAAAACAGACCCTATTTCGAAAGAAGCTGGGAAGGCTAGAAACTCTGTGGTAGATCCAAAAGCTAAAATCATCCCGATATACAGGAACACATTTCCAATTAACATCACAAAGTTGGGTCTTACCCTCCCGCCTGCTACAAAACCCAGAACAATACTTGAGATAAAGGAGAACACCACCATTAATGAGTTGAATAACACGGCTGTACCCAGAGACTTCCCCGTGAACTCCTTGATTCTTGTTGGGATGGCAAACAGGAGTAGAACAAAAGCAGTGTTGTTCAAAAACGCTGCGATGTCAGGGACGAAGAACACTATTTGCTGGATCCTATTCGGCTTTTCTTTCAGAATCTTTCCATTTGCGTTAGCTCCCATATTTTTCGACAATACTCGATTTGAACTTGCCCCAATCTTAATTTTTCTTTGCATTCTTCCAATAAACGGAAGAAAAAATATGGGGATGATGTCGAAAACAGCAATAGCGAATCCAGTGAGCAACCATCCCCCTGTAATGTAGAGTTGTGCCCCAACGTTAATTGAAATGATGTTTGCTAGATGCATCGATCCACTGATAATAACCATTAGTTTCTTCTTGTCCGCCAAAAACAGATCCACAATCTCTCCCTGAGATATTTACGATAGCAAATTTAAGTTTTTGTCTTTTATTTTACATTTTCTTTTTTTAATTAATTGATTTTTTAAAATTTAAATTTTCGTCTTTAATTAAATCTTTATTTTTTTGCGTGAATCAGATAATTACTAACGAAATTAAACTCACCTGTAACATCACAAAGAACAGCCCAACACAAACGCCCTGTAAAGCCCTGCTAACTCCAATAACAGTGAACACCAGCGTTCCTCCTGGGTCAGTTTCTACCATTGCATCTCCTGCAGCCATTACGAAGTAGCACAACATTCTTCCCGTTGTCAGGATTAAACACCTTTTTGTAAGAGGGATGGTACGGAAGCCAGGTATAATGGGAACGATGTAGGGGCCGATGGCTGCGGTGAAAACCAAGGTTGAAACGGCTATAGTACCTGGAAAGAGATAAATTCTATAGAAATATCCATCTAATTGTGCTAGTTTAAGTTACAGATAAAAGGTTAAATGGCGTATACATTCAGATATAAATTGATAACCCCACCCCTCTCCCTGTTTCAGATATAAATTGATAACCCCACCCCTCTCCCTGTTTGCACGTACCAAATGTTTTATCTAGATTGTTCTCTGCAAGAAAATCGATGTAGAACCCAGCGGTGTAAGTCCTTGCAATGAAAACTGTTCCATTACCAAAACAAGCAAATAGGACAATCAAAGCTAGCTCGCCACCTTTCAACTTTTGAACATTTCCTGTCAGATAACTGGGTTAACCATATTATACATATGTATAGTTATATATATCATATATATTATTATATATATATTATTATATATATATATTATTATATATATATTTAAAGTTCAATTGAGTCTTGATGATGAAAGGCTAGTTGCTGCGGCCCGGGCTCAATTTACTTTGAGCAAGAAAGCAATGTGTTGGATACGTAACAAAATGCTTTGTTATATATTATAAAGTACACTTTGAAAGTTTTACCTTGAGCCTGCGCCTCTTCTGCAGCTATTTTTTCTGAGGGGCCACTGTTACTTGGTTCCAAATTCAAGGCTCCTATCGCTGCATTGTTTGCTATTACCACTTCATCATCGTTTCCGTCCATTATAATCGGTTGTCACTATAATTTGGGGATGAGGCTTATAACTGCATCAAATGTGTAGATTTTTAAAGTCACATAACAGAATACAGAAACACGTACGAAAACTTGCAACCAAATACAAAAAGGTAACAACTGGTTTAAACCCAATACCAGAGAACTAGCTGGAGATAGAGCATGAGAGCGAAATAGTACTGGGAAAGAATAATTTTACTCGAAACTTTACTCAACAGTCGACACGTACCGAAGTTCGACAGGGGTGATTTCTGGCGAACTTTGGTTGTCAATCTACAGTACGTGTCGTAATACTACAGAGCAGATATAACAGTGAAATGTTCCACACTTTTTCACAATGTTTCTTCCTACTTATCCCAATGTCATTAACTTGAATTTTTTACTCGTACGAGTTTTGCTCAATTGTACAAATTTCATGCGACATTTATACGAATGAGCAAAATGAGCTGTACATTTTATGTCGTACAAATTTTCTATTTTTAACCTTAATAAAATAAAAAGTAAAAATCCCGGTCGACCACTGTACTGTCGTTTGCTACCCCTATGTCTTTAAGGAAATTGGTTTTTACCTAAATGACTTTGTTCTGAAAGTTGTCTAGGCCTTTTACCTTGGCTACAACTGATAACCAAATATCATACTAATTACCGTTGACCAGAACAGAGAGAGAGAGAGAGAGAGAGACTAAATTATCATCTCGCAAATAGTTGAAGTTATCAAACTTTACCCCATTTTAAATAAACTATTTCAGGTATCCCGTACCCCCAGTACTTTAACCCATTTTAAATAAACTATTTCAGGTATCCCGTACCCCCATTTAAAATAAACTATTTCAGGTATCCCGTACCCCCATTTTAAATAAACTATTTCAGGTATCCCGTACCCCCATTTTAAATAAACTATTTCAGGTATCCCGTACCCCCATTTTGAATAAACTATTTCAAGTATCCCGTACCCCCATTTTGAATAAACTATTTCAGGTATCCCGTACCCCCATTTTAAATAAACTATTTCAAGTATCCCGTACCCCCATTTTGAATAAACTATTTCAGGTATCCCGTACCCCCATTTTAAATAAACTATTTCAGGTATCCCGTACCCCCATTTTAAATAAACTATTTCAGGTATCCCGTACCCCCATTTTAAATAAACTATTTCAGGTATCCCGTACCCCCATTTTGAATAAACTATTTCAAGTATCCCGTACCCCCATTTTGAATAAACTATTTCAGGTATCCCGTACCCCCATTTTAAATAAACTATTTCAGGTATCCCGTACCCCCATTTTAAATAAACTATTTCAGGTATCCCGTACCCCCATTTTGAATAAACTATTTCAGGTATCCCGTACCCCCATTTTGAATAAACTATTTCAGGTATCCCGTACCCCCATTTTGAATAAACTATTTCAGGTATCCCGTACCCCCATTTTGAATAAACTATTTCAGGTATCCCGTACCCCCATTTAAAATAAACTATTTCAGGTATCCCGTACCCCCAGTACTTATACCCATTTAAAATAAACTATTTCAGGTATCCCGTACCCCCAGTACTTATACCCATTTAAAATAAACTATTTCAGGTATCCCGTACCCCCAGTACTTTAACCCATTTTAAATAAACTATTTCAGGTATCCCGTACCCCCAGTAGACACGCTCTCTTTATATTTGAGGGACTGATAAAGTTAGCTACTGGTTTCTACTCCCCTAAGTTTATCCCCCACTTCCACTCCACTGGGCGCATCAGATTTAGGGTATGTTTATCTTGTGTCACCTATACTATACTAATGTAACGATTGAGTGATTGTCTATTAATAGCTGCATGATGTGCAATAAAAACTTCTATTCATCTTGTGTGCTATGGTATTAATTCCGATGCCTAGTAATACAAGTTTTTTTACGAAACCGTACGCGTACCCTACATCTGCATATTATATATATGCATACTTTTGTAACATTAGATATTGCACGGTATTCAGCAATGGTTCATAATTATCATCTTTCTCAAATTACAGTTGTGTATTAATTCTCCTATTTCACTTTTTGTACTTTTAAAGTTTTACATATCAAGCCAGCTTTAAATCAAAATTTTACAATTTATGTCAATTCAGTAGAATCTAGATTCAAGTAGGTTTTTAAAACGAGCACTTAAAGATTATAAAGTTGTACGATAAAACATAATTGATAAAACATAGAGTCACAAAAGTGGAAAATGTACACCATTTGTATCGGTTAGTTGGCAGTGCTTCAGTGTTACATTTAGAACCGTTACTTGCTAGTAATTTTATCATTTTAAAAACTGTCCAATTATTTGATTTTATACTTTTTTTCCATTTTTAACGCAGAACGGCTTATTTCAGATCCTGGAATGTCTGTGGCGGATATCAATGTCCAGCACGGGGGAGACTATTGTCTACCTCCCGAAAGAGGGTTCAAATAAACGCACTGTTTCCTGCCCTTTCATCAGAATATCAGTCGCTGACTCCTGTCTCCGCCCCCAGGAGGTTAGTTGCATATAACATAGTCTGTAAAACTCTTCAGGTAAAAAGTTGAGATTCTGTCAGAAATTGAGATCTAGATCTAGTTATGATTAAAAGTACCGAGATTAATCAATTATCTTGGCGATAGCAACACAAAATCTGGTCCAATTAATGACCATGCACCCAGGTAACTCCCTATAAGTTAGAGTTGGAGATCCCCACTGAAGCTACAGAGGACTACGGGTCAGTTGACTTACCGTATGAGCACGTGGATAATCTCATCTACCACTGTCTTAACAAGGTGAGAATTGTGGACCAACCAGGGTCCACCAACCAGGGTCCACCAACCAGGGTCCACCAACCAGGGTCCACCAACCAGGGTCCACCAACCAGGGTCCACCAACCAGGGTCCACCAACCAGGGTCCACCAACCAGGGTCCACCAACCAGGGTCCACCAACCAGGGTCCACCAACCAGGGTCCACCAACCAGGGTCCACCAACCAGGGTCCACCAACCAGGGTCCACCAACCAGGGTCCACCAACCAGGGTCCACCTATAAAACGGGTATTATTGAGCAGGTTGGTGTGGTTTCACTTAAGTTAACTCTCGGAACTTGGTTAGTATTTTATTGTACCTACCGTTATAGGTGTAAATGTAGTTATGGTTTATCTAAAACCACAGAACATATTTTATACCACCTATTCTGTGACGATGGTCACTCTATAACCCCCTGCCCCCCCCCTCTATAAACCCCCGCCCCCTCCCCCACTCCCCACCCGTTACTGTATATAGGGGGGGTGACATGTCTCCAATGTCTCCCGCACCTTATCTTTTCGAAAAAGACAAAGACATTGGAGACATTGGAGACATTGGAGACATTGGAGACACAGCTTTTGGAGACATTGGAGACATTGGGGACATTGGGGACACTGGGGACATTAGAGACACAGCTTTTGGACACATTGGAGACATTTGGGACATTTGGGACATTGGAGACATTGGGGACATTAGGGACATAAAATGGATATTAGGGGCATTGGAGACATTGGAGACACAGCTTTTGGAGCCTCCTCCTCCTCCTCCTCCTCCTCCTCCTCCTCCTCCTCCTCCTCCTCCTCCTCCTCCTCCTCCTCCTCCTCCTCCTCCTCCTCCTCCTCCTCCTCCTCCTCCTTCTCCTCCTCCTCCTCAGCCCTCCTCAGTCGTTCTCCTCCTCCTCCTGAATCCTCCTCCTGGGTCCTCCTCCTCCTGGGTCCTCCTCCTCCTCTTCATCCTCCTCCTCTTCCTCCTCAATCATCAGTCCTCCTGATCCTCCTCAGTCCTCCTCCTCATCCTTCTCGTCAGTCCTCCTCCTCCTCCTCAGTCCTCCCCAAGTCCCCCTCCTCCTCAGTCCTCCCCAGTCCCCCTCCTCCTCCTATTCAGTCCTCCTCCTCCTCCTCCGTTCTCCTCAGTCCTCCTCCTTCTCAGTCCTCCTCCTGAGTCCTCTTCCTGAGTCCTCCTCCTGAGTCCTCCTCCTCTTCCTGAGTCCTCCTCCTCCTAGGTCCTTCTCCTCCTCCTCCTCCTCAGTCCTTTTCCTCATCCTCCTCATCCTCCTTCTTAGTCATCCTCCTCAGTCATCCTCCTCAGCCATCCTCCTCAGCCATCCTCCTCAGTACTCCTCAGTCCTCCTCCTCAGTCCTCATCCTTCTCCTTAGTCCCCCTCCTCCTCCTATTCACTCCTCATCCTCCTCCTCAGTTCTCCTGAGTCCTCCTCCTGAGTCCTCCTCCTGAGTCCTCCGCCTGAGTCCTCCTCCTAGGTCCTCCTCCTTCTCCTCCTCACTCCTCAGTCCTTCTCCTCCTCCTCCTCAGCCATCCTCCTCAGTCCTCCTCCTCCTCAGTCCTCATCATCATCCTCCTCTTCAGTCCTCCTCCTCCTGGGTCCTCTTCCTCCTCTTCATCCTCCTCCTCTTCCTCATCAGTCCTCAGTCCTCCTCCTCATCCTTCTCGTCAGTCCTCCTCCTCCTCAGTCCTCCCCAGTCCCCCTCCTCCTCCTCCTATTCAGTCCTCCTCCTCCTCCTCCTCAGTTCTCCTCAGTCCTCCTCCTTCTCATTCCTCCTAAGTTCTCCTCCTGAGTCCTCCTCCTGGGTCATCCTCCTCCTAGTTCCTCCACCTTCTCCTTCTCCTCCTCAGTCCTTCTCCTCCTCCTCCTCCTCCTCAGTCATCCTCCTCAGTACTCCTCAGTCCTCCTCCTTCTCAGTCCTCCTCCTTCTCAGTCCTCCTCAGTCCTCTTCCTGAGTTCTCCTCCTCCTCCTCCTCCTGAGTCCTCCTTCTGGGTCCTCCTCCTCCTAGGTCCTCCTCCTTCTCCTCCTCAGTCCTACTCCTCCTCCTAAGTCCTCTTCCTCCTCCTCCTCCTCCTCTTCCTCCCTCTCAGTCATCCTCCTCAGCCATCCTCCTCAGTCCTCCTCAGTCCTCATCCTCCTCCTCAGTCCTCCTCCTGGGTCTTTCTCCTCTTCATCCTCCTCAGTCCTCAGTCCTCCTCCTCAGTCCTCCTCCTCATCCTTCTCGTCAGTCTTCTGCATCCTCAGTCCTCCCCCAGTCCCCCTCCTCCTCCTCCTATTCAGTCCTCCTCCTCCTCAGTTCTCCTCAGTCCTCTTCCTTTTCAGTCCTCCTGAGTCTCCTGCTTCTCTTCCTCCTGAGTCCTCCTCCTGGGTCCTCATCCTCCTAGGTCCTCCTCCTTCTCCTTCTCCTCAGTCCTTCTCCTCCTCCTCCCTCTCAGTCATCCTCCTCAGTCATCCTCCTCAGCTATCCTCCTCAGTACTCCTCAGTCCTCCTCTTTCTCTGTCCTCCTCAGTCCTCTTCCTGAGTCCTCCTCCTGAGTCCTCCTCCTCCTCCTCCTGAGTCCTCCTCCTGGGTCCTCCTCCTCCTGGGTCCACCTCCTCCTAGGTCCTCCTCCTCAGTCATCCTCCTCAGCCATCCTCCTCAGCCATCCTCCTCAGTACTCCTCAGTCCTCCTCCTTCTCAGTCCTCCTCAGTCCTCCTTCTGAGTCCTCCTCCTGAGTCCTCATCCTCTTCCTTCACCTCCTGAGTCCCCCTCCTGGGTCATCCTCCTCCTAGATCCTCCTCCTTCTCCAATCATACATCTACGTCTCCAGTGTCTCCAATGTCTCCAACGTCTCCAAAAGCTTTGTCTCCAATGTCTCCAATGTCTCCATTGTCTCCAATGTCTCCAAAAGCTGTGTCTCCAATGTCTCCAATGTCTCCAGGACATGTCTCTGCACCCTATCTTTTCAAAAAAGACAAAAGACATTGGAGACATTGGAGACATGTCACCCCCCCTATATACCCCCTCCCCAGGAAGAAGACTGGAGTGTTCTAGAACTAACCCTATCAGCTATCAAGAAGAAGCTCTGCAACGCCCAGTTCCAGACTCGACGTAATGTAGATTCTCAGACTGAGCAGCTTGTGGAGCTGCTGAGTAACAGCAAGCGACTTGAGGAGCTGAAGAATACTCCTAAAGACTTCTCTGCTTCAGAAGTGAGGATGAGGATATACCCGGTTAGTTCAGACTGTTAGGTTTGTTATTAAAGCATGTTTTTTAGTTGTTAAATAATCAATATCCGAATGATGCGGCTGTTAATCGAAGGTAAAATCCGAAACCAGTGGTAAATGCTTGGTTTTCGAAACCAGGGTTTGTTGACAAATCTAACACACTTGTAACCAGGTGATAGTGCGACTGATACCCTACCAAGCTCGGATCTACAAGACAACACGTGACGCTGATATGTGTAGGAGACTCCTCAAAGCTCTGATAAGCGGACTCAAACCTAAGTTTGGCAAAATCTGTATCGAGGGACTGATCGTGGCAGCCATGGAGATGCCTTTTCTCATTAAACCTCGGTTTCTAAGCAACATAATACACGAAATAGCAAAGATGACAGTTGGAAGGAACCTGGCGATAGCAACCTTATCATTCCTCTCTACTGTAGCATTAACACCCTCCCTGTATAAGGACTTTACAGAGGAGGAATATAAAATGGTTATCAGTGTTATTCTGCCCTACACTGACCCAGTTAATTTCGATGTTCCTGTTATTCACTTCGCACACGTGGTGGTATGTAATTGGTATGTCAGGTGCCATTACAAGCACAGACCTGCTTTCAAGGAGTATATTCTAGGGCAGCTTAGGTCCACGGTTAAGAGTGTAGGACAGGAAATGTAGGAGTAACAGCACCCTGACCGAGCAGGGGAAGGGTGGGGAGAAGAGGAAGGTGAGTGCTGAGTCTAAAGATGCTAAGACTCTGAGGCCGAGGTCAGGTGATTATGGAAGGTTAAGTGGGTCTAACACTCCCAGATCCAGTTTTAAGAGGATACCTTCAACTGATTCCATCAACAAGGCACCGGATGCTGAGAGGATTAATGCTCACAATCAGCTGATAGATGTAACAGAGGACTTACTTGAGCGGTGGATGTATTCCGGACGTTGCAACATAATCAAGAAATCCCCCCAATTGGATCTGCTGTTTTCAAACAAGAAAACTAAAACCTGGACTGTGTGCAATACTTTGATTACAATATCCACTGCGTTATCTTGTGACAGATCATCTTCCTCCTCGTGCGAGCGATGTAAAATGGTACAAGCTATCACTGGTGAAGGTTCTTTCAACAGCAGTTCTGATGATAGCATGGAGTTGAGTTTTGGAACGGGACTTCGCATTCCCATCCCTGGACAACAAGGTCCTGTTGCAACAGTTGATTTGAACAAGATCATGACTCCTAAATGTAGTTGTTGGTGTAAAGATTTCGCTCACCTAGAAATACGTTCCCCCACCAGTAACAGTAGTGTCATACTCAGACTCCAGAACAAGTGCCACTTTGTTGGACTTGACGCTGCTGCGGGAGGAGACAGTCACGTTGTTACCGCGCTCTTTGATGACGATCTTAGTCAACTTCTCATAAAGGACGTCCACAGTGACTATACTCCTCATCAACTAGAACAACTTCTCTCATCAAATTCCTCCTCTGGTTCATTTAAGCACAACTTAGCTCGAAGGAGAAGGCTCAGTACCCCACAAGCAGATGAAATGACCCCAACTTCTGCAATCGAAGTTAGACAGAGATCGCATAGCGATCTGGGTGTTACAGAAAAATCCGATCCTCTAAAAGAACCGTTTGTTTATAATCGAAACGATACTGATTCCAGGAATTCATCTGTTGAAATTTGTGAACGATTTGCGGATAAGGATGCCGCTAGAACTTTGACTCAAGCTGGTATGGACGACGCCTTTTACAACACATCCTCTAGGAAAAGATCCAGTGTTTTCCAGTATGCTAAGAATAATAAAAATGACGCAAACGGTAATAGTGGATCAAACACGGAGGAGAACTCATCTAGAGACTCCCAATCCAAGAACTCCTCTCGTTCATCTTCTCCTCATTTGTCCGCGAGAAAAGATCCGACCCAAGACAACAACTTCAGCCCAATGACCTCCCGGTCCAGTAGCACACAGGAACTCACCTCCAGATCCAGCAGCTTGAAGGACTGCTCTAAGTTCTCTGTGGACAACGACCAGAGCCACTGGGACATCGACCCAGCTTTTATTTTCAGACAACTTTACCCCCTTATATCCAGCAGTGCAGATAAGACTCCCCTCAGTCTCCAGGAGTCGGAGGATGTCTCCAGAGCTCTCCGGAACCTCGACCTCATCCTGGTCTCCAACACTCACAAGATAGGACTCATATACGTGGGACCCAGCCAAACAAACGAAGTGAGCATCCTGAGGAACACGTACGGTAGTGTTAGGTACGTGGAGTTTGTGAAGACTCTCGGAGACATCATCTGGCTGGGGAACTGTGATCAGAAGACGGTGTATATAGGAGGGTTGGATACCAAGGGTTTGGACGGGGATTACACTGTTAGCTGGAGAGATAAGACGTCTCAAGTTGTGTTCCATGTCGCTACCCTCATGCCACAACACGATACTGACCCAACTAGCACCAACAAAAAACGTCACATAGGTAACAACTTCGTGACGATCGTCTACAATGATTCCGGGCTGCCATACCAACAGGGTACAATCAAGGGGCAGTGCAATATCTGCGACATCGTGATAGAACCCCAACCCAACCACATGAACCTGGTGTCCTTCAACAGCCTCAAGAAAACTAAGCTAGCAGATCTGAAGCCCCACGCTGCCTTGCTCATCAGTGATGATCCCCTCGGGTCAGTTGTACGGCACATGGCTGTAAACGCTAATGGATTGTGTCAGGTCATGATGGGACCTGGTGCAAGGAACGCGTATTCGTGTAACTGGTTGGAGCGGTTGAAGGCTATAAATAGAATTACAAGCCGGTCTACTACTCCCATTTCATCTCCAACTCCAGCTAGACGAGACTTGCAAGTGTAGTTACCTTAGCTTCTGTCACGGATTATTTTCTTGTTTTTTAAAGAAATTGCTTGATTTTTATTAACATTATATTCTTTTCGAAAGGGAATTAATTTATATAATCAAACGTTTGATTAACTTATGATCCTGAGATTCAATAAACACTAGGTCTATGTTTGTAGACTGAAACCTAAGTTGTGAGGGTAATTTATTCTAAATTATAACTTTATAACATTATCTTAATTTGATAGTATATTTTTAAACCAAACTGCATGAGTACAAAACCATTTTTTTTGTAAGAATAGATACGTTATTATTCATTTGAAAAAGAAAGCATGGAATCTTTCCAGCTGTCATGATCTGTGCATGTCGACAGTTTCAGGAGTATTATCATGAATCATTTCCAATGCAAATAAAACCAAATTGTTTTGTCTTTTGACGAAGAAGCTATATAATATGATAATTGTTAGATTTCATTGTGAAATTGGATTGATTTTTATTTTTCATTACAGTTTAACACACTGTTGTTTCATTAAATCAAAAATGCAGATAATACAGCAGTACCATTAACTCAGACAGTAAAAATGTGTAGCTTTAAATATCAAATTCAAATGTTGTCTCAACGTCTGAAGTGTGTTCTGAAGTAACTTTGTTCTCGTCGCTTCCTTGTGACTTAGACCCATTAGTTTCCTCAAGCTCAGCATGATTAATAATTCTCTCAATTTCCTTCTCCACGCCTCCAAACTTCTTTCTATATTGGTGTACAGCTCGTTCAATATCACCAAAGTTACCGCCCATCATGGAGGTATCAACAGCAAAATGTTTTCCGTTCCGCAGCTGAGTGCCCAGGTCGGCCCAAGTTGACGAGAATGCAGTAAAAACTAGCATAAACTGTAGTAACAAACTTAACATGATTTAAAAAACTGGCGAGGCAACAGTCTCTGACTAAAATAAAGTAATATTATTATAATTCATACGGTTCAAACTAAGCTACAAAGTCAAAGGGAGTGGTTATATTTCGTTTTTATATAAAGCAAGTTAGATAAACTTTGTCATTCAAACAGGTCCCACCTTTTGTAAGTCAACACAATATAATTCCTGATAAATAATAAGGCCCGATAGTATAATATAATATTCTGTTACTCTAAATAATTATGTTAAACTGTGTTATTAACCTAAACCCTTACACTTACTAGAATGTCACGAGGTCGAGGTAACTTGGACCCTAAAAGGGTGTCCTCTGAGCTGTTCACCCTAACGTACGGGTGCATGGTAGCTCAGCTACTCAAAGACTTTGATAGTCCAGACGAGGTAATCTACTTCATTACTTGTTCCTCCAGGGGGGGGGGGGGGGGGTACAGGAACTTCATTACTTGTTCCTCCAGGGGGGGGGGGGGTACAGGAACTTCATTACTTGTTCCTACAGGGGGGGGGGGTACAGGAACTTCATTACTTGTTCCTACAGGGGGGCCGGGGGGAGGGGGGCGGGGTACAGGAACTTCATTACTTGTTCCTACAGGGGGGAGGGGGGTACAGTAACTTCATTACTTGTTCCTACAGGGGGGGGGGGGGGGGGTACAGGAACTTCATTACTTGTTCCTACAGGGGGGGGGGTACAGGAACTTCATTACTTGTTCCTACAGGGGGGGGGGGGGGGTACAGTAACTTCATTACTTGTTCCTACAGGGGGGGGGGGGGTACAGGAACTTCATTACTTGTTCCTACAGGGGGGGGGTACAGGAACTTCATTACTTGTTCCTACAGGGGGGGGGGTACAGGAACTTCATTACTTGTTCCTACAGGGGGGGGGGGGGTACAGTAACTTCATTACTTGTTCCTACAGGGGGGGGGGGGGTACAGGAACTTCATTACTTGTTCCTCCAGGGGGGGGGGGGTACAGGAACTTCATTACTTGTTCCTACAGGGGGGGGGGGTACAGGAACTTCATTACTTGTTCCTACAGGGGGGCCGGGGGGAGGGGGGCGGGGTACAGGAACTTCATTACTTGTTCCTACAGGGGGGAGGGGGGTACAGTAACTTCATTACTTGTTCCTACAGGGGGGGGGGGGGGGTACAGGAACTTCATTACTTGTTCCTACAGGGGGGGGGGGGGGGTACAGTAACTTCATTACTTGTTCCTACAGGGGGGGGGGGGGTACAGGAACTTCATTACTTGTTCCTACAGGGGGGGGGTACAGGAACTTCATTACTTGTTCCTACAGGGGGGGGGTACAGGAACTTCATTACTTGTTCCTCCAGGGGGGGCCGGGGGGAGGGGGGCGGGGTACAGGAACTTCATTACTTGTTCCTACAGGGGGGCCGGGGGGAGGGGGGCGGGGTACAGGAACTTCATTACTTGTTCCTACAGGGGGGCCGGGGGGAGGGGGGCGGGGTACAGGAACTTCATTACTTGTTCCTACAGGGGGGAGGGGGGCGGGGTACAGGAACTTCATTACTTGTTCCTCCAGGGGGGGGGGGGGGGGTACAGGAACTTCATTACTTGTTCCTACAGGGGGGGGGGTACAGGAACTTCATTACTTGTTCCTACAGGGGGGGGGGGGGGTACAGTAACTTCATTACTTGTTCCTACAGGGGGGGGGGGGGGGGGGTACAGGAACTTCATTACTTGTTCCTACAGGGGGGGGGTACAGGAACTTCATTACTTGTTCCTACAGGGGGGCCGGGGGGGGGGGGGCGGGGTACAGGAACTTCATTACTTGTTCCTACAGGGGGGGCCGGGGGGAGGGGGGCGGGGTACAGGAACTTCATTACTTGTTCCTACAGGGGGGCCGGGGGGAGGGGGGCGGGGTACAGGAACTTCATTACTTGTTCCTACAGGGGGGCCGGGGGGAGGGGGGCGGGGTACAGGAACTTCATTACTTGTTCCTACAGGGGGGAGGGGGGCGGGGTACAGGAACTTCATTACTTGTTCCTACAGGGGGGAGGGGGGCCGGGGGGGGGGGGGGGGGGTACAGGAACTTCATTACTTGTTCCTACAGGGGGGCGGGGTACAGGAACCGCTCAATTTAGCAATGTTTAAATCAGCTCCTTATAACAGCCGTTATTTTGTAGTATCATCCTAACGTTTAATCCTCACTCTAATCTGATATCCAAATTGTAACATTTAAAACATAATGAAACTGAAACAACAAATAAAACCCTGATCTACCCCAGGTAAACAAGCAGCTAGACAAGATGGGGTACAATATCGGAGTGAGGATGATAGAGGACTTCCTAGCTCACACTCCCGGAACCAAGAGATGTACCCAGTTTGAGGAGGTTGCTGATGTCATCTGCAAACAGGGCTTCAGGATGTTCCTCGGTCAGATTTTAGGATTATTGCTAAGTTTTCTCCAAATTGGTTTATTAGCTTGATCAAATCTTTTGATGTGAATGGAATGTTGTTTCCTTTGATAACAGTGACTTTTCTCTTCCCTTAAATATTAACAAAACCTCCCTCTACGAACAGGCATAGTACCTGAAGTGAGGAACTGGAATGCAGCCAAAGACGAGTTCACCCTCTTACTAACAGAGAACCCTCTAGCTGAGTTCGTTGAATTGCCTCCCCATTGTACTGATAGTTTGTGGTATGTATTTAATATTTATATATTATTATCTGGTTTGCTATATTCTTTGATGTTTTTTGATAGGATTGGCAAGGATTCGTTTTGTATGCTTCGGTTTAGCATAAAGTAGTGGTAGAATGTATTTATTATTTTCGTTATGTTCCATGCAAGTCGTAGTTTCAAGTGGATTTTTTTGTTTGTTTTGAAACCCCACGGTGGAGGTTGGCGTGTGCCGCAATTTATTGATCAATGGTTATTACATAAATGAAATTATAGAAGTCACACTAAAATATAATAATGTAAAATAAATATATTAAAATAAATGCCCTACTAAAAGTACTATATAACTAACGGTCTGCAAAACTGGTTGAAGTCGCAATTTGTAAACATGCTAATTACTATTTAATAATAATAGATAAAAAGTTTTGCGCGGCAGATGTAAATTCGGCATTGCATAATGGCAGTGAAATTAAAATGATATGTTGTTGATAAAAGATCATAGTCATTTGTCGCGAGTGATCTTTCTTTACGCGTTGTCGCTTACTAACTCGGTGCTGTAGTCTATTTGCGAGCGCCCTTCTCTTTGAGACTTTCTTAGCCCAGGTATACTATAAAGTAAGAAATTTGGCCAATTTTCATCGTCTCCTGAGCTTTGCAGCTTGAGGAGTTCGCGCTTAGCTGAATTTTTAAAGATTTCAATTGAAAAGGTAGAACTTGGAATAGTTATATCCTTACTTTGCTTTGTAATAGAGAGCATGGGTCCTTTGAAGAAAAGAGTATTTCTAAATGTTGGGCCGTTGTAAGTTGTGAACCAAGAAAGGTTATGTTCGTATGTGGAATTATAGGTGGGAATATCGTGAGGGAAAAGTTCTTTGATGGATTTAGGGAGAAGGCTTGGCATGTTCCTTACTTTGTGTAGTAGAATAAGAGCGTTTTTTACAATGACGCTATGGACTGTTAGGATATTATGCAATCTAAACGCACTTTTTGTGTGCTCCGGGGGATTGCCGTCTTTATATCTATAATTTACATATCCTGACATAACAGCTCTAATTCCCTGCTTTTGCTTGGTGAACAGAGATTCAATGTGACATTTTGAGGCAAATCCCCACACTAAAGAACAGAAATTTAGATGGGATTGGATAAGGCTTTGGAAAATGTTTAGGCGGGCTTTGATAGGTAGAAGGTGCTTTAGCTTATACATAACTCCGAGGTAGCGACCCATCTTTATTCTAACGGCCGTAATGTGTTTTTGCCAAGTGAGCTTTTCGTCTAGGATCACTCCTAAAAATCTTGCAAAAACCAGACAACTATCACCCCTTGATTCTTGAAGCTAAATATACCTCCTATCTCCCAGGTACAGTAACATAATCTGCGGAGTAATACTTGAAGCTAAATAAACCCTATATAATATCTCCCAGGTACAGTAACATAATCTGCGGAGTAATACTTGAAGCTAAATAAACCCTATATAATATCTCCCAGGTACAGTAACATAATCTGCGGAGTAATACGAGGAGCTCTGAAGCTTAATATACCCTATATCTCCCAGGTACAGTAACATAATCTGTGGAGTGATACGAGGAGCTCTGAAGCTTAATATACCCTATATCTCCCAGGTACAGTAACATAATCTGCGGAGTAATACCCTATATCCCCCAGGTACAGTAACATAATCTGCGGAGTGATACGAGGAGCTAATATACCCCCTATCTCCCAGGTACAGTAACATAATCTGCGGAGTGAAACTAAATATACCCTATATCTCCCAGGTACAGTAACATAATCTGCGGAGTGATACTAAATATACCCTATATCTCCCAGGTACAGTAACATAATCTGCGGAGTGAAGCTAAATATACCCCCTATCTCCCAGGTACAGTAACATAATCTGCGGAGTAATACCCTATATCTCCCAGGTACAGTAACATAATCTGTGGAGTGATACGAGGAGCTCTGGAGATGATCCAAATGGAGGTAAAGTGCTGGTTTATTGGAGACACACTCAGGGGTACTGAATCAACAGAAATACGGGTCAAGTTCGTCAAGATTCTGGAAGATTCCTTACCTGCTGGAGAAGATTAGAGATTGGAAGTTAGGATGAAATACAAACTGTGGATGAGAAGCTTTCTTATTTCTGATGAAGCTATGAAAGAGGGGTGTGGTTGACTTACATTCGGCGTGGTTTGGAAACATGATAATTGCTGCACGACCTGATTTTAATTTTGGGCTGGACCCAAATTCAGAGCTTGAGTTTTATGGATCAATGGGGAGAGTCGGAGACATTACTAGAATGATAGGAAAATAATATTAGCATCTTAAATCTTAATGCATTCTTTAGAATTAACCTGCTTAGAGACTAGAAATGCTAAATGTCGAGTATGGATTTCTCGGCTAATTTTTTTACTGCGCATCTCTGCACCTCTAATGCTAAAGTAAAACTAACTGGAGATATATATTTGAGTTGTAAATTTTGTCGTTAATATCAAATGTTGTTGCAAATTTATGTTCTTCTTTTGTCAAGTTTATGATATCATGATGTATCTTGACCTCTTAAATTCAAATAATGGTTTATTTTATTCCAACTATTTCATTGTATTGAAAATTCTTATTCCTAAAATTCGTATATTGTATAATTCCTGTAATTATGATTAGAACACTTGAATATATATTATATTATATAATATAAGAAAACGATTTTTTCCAGATATTTGACAATATTTCTCAATCTTTAAACCCATCATATCTCCAGTTTCTAGCAACAATGACTTCATCCCAAGTATGTCAACTCTCTCCCGAACTCGCTGGGGTTGCCCGCAAATTCCGTTTCCGCAAAGCCAAAAACATCGGCGCCATCACCATGAAAGCCAGCGCTAAAACCCTGACCGTAGAACTAGAAGAAACCTACGAGGACACCACAATAGAGGACATAGCAGACGACCTGCCCACCGCAGAGCCCCGCTACCTCCTCATCAGCTACGTGCTGAACCACCCCGACGGCAGGGTCTCCTACCCTCAGTGCTTTGTATTCTACACTCCCCCCTCCGCAAAACCGGAAATGAGAATGCTGTATTCCTCTTCTAAACCAGGGGTTGAGGGGAAGATAGATGCTACTAAGAGTTATGAGCTGAGATGTAGTGAGGACCTGACTGCTGAGTGGTTGGAGGAGGAGCTGTCTAGGGTTTAAATGGACTGGTTTGCAGCGATTGCTGATAGGGTGGGGGGCCGGGGGGGGGGGGGGGTTTGGAGCTGGTAGGGGGGCCGGGGGGGGGGCAGTTTGGAGCTGGTAGGGGGGAAATAGGCTGATGTAGAACTGATATCATTCCTAATGTACGGTAACTTGGTTCTAAATCATGACAGGTTGGTTCAAATATTAGATATAAGTAACATTACGCGTGCAGGTAGACATTAATATGGTTTAAGAAGAGATTATGTGTTACTGGTCTGCTAGCTCTTTATCTAGCCCCAAATGTGCTTGTTGTTACTTATAATTAATATTATTATGTTGTATTTGTACATTGGCATGAGCTGACATTATATAATTACTGTTAAGTTAGTTATTATTAAGTTTTCAACATTGGAAAATAGACATGGAGTACGTTTTATTGGGCTAATTTTATAGGTATTAATTTCTGGTGCGTATTGAACATTTTGTTGTATATTTTTAGTGTGACGTTGAATTTATGCGACATTATGTCGAGAAGTGTGTATATTTTATAGCATACTGTAATTATGAAATTAAGCCGGAATCGACTTTCTTAAATTTTTTAGGCAAGCGCCATTATTTGGAAAATAAGCTTTCAGGTCGATCTGGGGACCCAACAGCCAACTTTCATATCTAGGATCCCTAACGTTTTCTTATAATTAGTTTTACATAAAATTAATGTTTTGGTGGTGTAAATTGTTAATTATAACGTGTGCTATTGATATTGATTTCTTTTAATAATTTTTGCACAATAATGTATGGCTGTATGTTGAATTTAGTATACTTTTGTAAGTTGAAATGTTTGTTCAATTCATATGCACATCATAGTTCATTCTGCTAAAAAGAGTTTTATTCCTGCCTACCATAGTTGATAATTCAATCAATTGAATGTTAAACAGTTAAATTGTAGTCCCCGAAATTAATGATTGCATTCATAAGGCTATGAAATATGAATACCATGACTTGGTTAATATTTGAAATTATGACTTTATATGAAATAATCAGCATCTTTATTCAGGATTCATGTTATGACAGTACCAGCTGAGAGACGCGAGTCTTTTAAAAAATGGCAGGTAGAGGTTTTGAATAATCTTCAATCCCTACCTTCAACTGAGCCCCCAGACAGCTGCATTATAGTGGGCACTGAACGTATTCCTGTCCACAAAACAGCCCTACAACTTAACAGTTCCCTTTTAACTTCTGGAGATGTTGCTTACAACAAACAGTCTGATTTAATTGAGATTGAAGTTGTACCGGAATTCTCGGAATACTTTCATTTACTTTCTGAGATAGTGGACAGTTTTTATACTGGCAAGCTTGATGTTGTTGAGGAAAACATGCAAATTGTTTACAAGTTTGCCAAATGTTATTCTATTCAGTGGATAATGGACTATGTCAGACCAAGTTTTGTAGATTACATAAAGAAAGGTGAAGGCTGCGAGAGATTTGTGGAGATTCTGAAGTTTGCTCAGTCCATTTGGTGCACTGATTTATCTGATACATGTTGTGAGCTTCTTGATTCTGAGCTGCTTGATAGAATTTCAGAGCCTGATATGATCTCACAATTCGATTTCTTTGCAATAAAATCGATCACATCATCAGATAAGCTGACAATTCCAGAAAAATGTGTGTTCGATTTAGTTGTAAATTGGTTGGAATCGAAGCCCAGTCGATGTCACAATTTTGGTTCCATTATGGAGAGTATTCAATATCACTTAATTGAAAGTGATTATTTATCGGATGCAGTATTTGATTTTGTTTTGGAACAACCAAATCTCCCTGATTCTTCGAGGAAAGCTGTTCTTAAGAAGGTAAGGGATTCAATGAAACAGGTTCCAGAACGAAATACCCGTTTTACGAGTAGATCAGGGACTAGCATTTCTGTATTCAGAACCTTTTCTTCTGACAATGATGAATGTTTACGTAAAGTAGCTCTGTGGATGAGAGGAGAGAGGAAAGATGGAGACAAAGGAATTGAAATCTCTGATGATGACGTGAAATCAATTATCAGTGATAAGTTCAAATTCATGGTGGACGATGATCGAGAGACTTTTATCAACTATTTTTGCACGAACAAATATTCTATGACAAAGTTTATAATTGATAGGTTTCTTCCGGTTTACGATGTTTACCCCAGCCTTAAATTATTATGGCTAGTCTTGGAGCACTGTACTGAAACAAACTACCAAGTATTGTACGATATTCCTTGGCATTTGGTATCTTTTCAAACGATATCAGCAATTGTAACGAATTGTGCAATACTGGAGCATCTTTTAGAATTCGATTGTAAACGTGAATACAAAAAGATGAATAGGTACAGTAATCATAGTATCTATTCTGAAAGGTTTGAAGGATGTGGACAGGTTGAAATAATTATGCTTTGGGCGTTAGCTAATCCCCTTCAGAAGGACAAAATCAAGCAGCTCATAGACACATTATGTTTTCAGAAGATTCCCTTGGTTTATAAAGAAAATATTCTGCTACCAAGTGTCATAACAATTTTTCCTGATATAACCGACCTAACGTGTTCTCATGATCATTCAGACCAATGTATTGGATATGTAAGTAAAAAGGATGATGTATTGGACATGAAAGTAGAAAGGATGCCCGGCAAAATATACCTTCTAAAAAAGTTCAATGGTAAATTTAATGGCGATATCGAGAAATCTTTCTACGAACTTACCTTCTCTCCTGGAAATGAGTCTTCATGTATATCATTGCAATCACACGATGAAATGAAGGGATATAGTACTAGTTATAGTTCTTTGCCTAGTAAAATTCATAGCTTTATTATTTTTGATGCTTCTAAACCTCATCTTCCCAAATATCCTCTATTTGTTAGGAATTCTTGTCTAAACGCCGTTGGAGATGTTATTAAATGTTCTAAAAACTTTCGCTTCATGTTTTACAAGCGTACTGAATGCTGAGGGTAAACACATTTTTAAAAGCTTTTAAGGAAAATAGCTCTGTGGATAAGAGGAGGAAGAAAATATGGAGAAATAACGAATGAAAAATCTAAAGAAATCTCCAAAGAATCAGTGATAAGTTCAAATTCATGGTGGATAATGATCGAAAAATGGTAATCAACTACCAGGTATTGTACTATATTCCTTGGCATTTGGTATCTTTTCAAAAGATATCAGCGATAGTAAAAAATTCTACAATCCTGGAGCACCTTTCAGAGTTCGATTGTAAACGTGAATTTAAAAAAATGTGAACAACGCAAACGCAGTATCTATTCTGAAATATTTATTTGAATAAATATTTATTTAAATCATTTATATCAGAAAAAGTTTGATGAGGAAGCTTCCTCAAGTTAGCTGTATCAGTTTTAAATGTTGATTTGGAAAAAAAGTTTGATGAAGAAGTTAGCTGTATCAGTTTTAAATGTTGATTTGAAGATTCATTATCTTCTGATTTTTAGTTTTAGTTTTAGTTTATTAGCACATCTGAGGTTTAATTCTTAGTGTATTTTGTATTGCCATTGTTGTACTGTTTGGTTATAGGAACAATTTGTAATCATTATTTTGTAATTTTCTTCATTTAATTGTGTAAAACTTAAATCATAATTGAATCATTGAAAATACTATGTATTTAAAGCATTAGTTTAGTTTCCCCTATAATAATCACAACCAAACGATAACAATAACCATTAAATTAAACCTTGCACTAGAACAATGTTAAAACCCCGGCTGTTCTGTAAACACAGAATATCCCTCACCAACCTACGATATAAATCCTCCGACAGCAGACACACCTCTGTACCCAAAACTATTCCCATACACAAATCTCGGATAAGGAGCGTTCCTGGTGATTTCCAGGTTATCGAGGGTGAGAAGGGCTTGTTTCATATGGAAATACCGTTCGGTAACTGGAGGGCTGCATCTTTGTAAGTTACATCACATAATTTAAATGTATTTTAATGGTGATTCTAATGATGAGAATGAATTTTGCATCAGATTTTACCATTTGTTGCATGATTGGTGTTTATAACGATGAATTCCTTAAAACAGATTTGATTATTTTCAGTGTGAGTTACTTTCCTACGGTTCCTTATGTCCCAGAAGGTTTCAATGATAAGCGGACCATCAAATCTGAGGTTAGAATCTAGATAACTGATAACTGCTTGCATTCAAAAGTCATTTTACTTCCTTTTTAATCCACGCTGAACTTTAATCTCACGTCATAAAGTTAAAATTGCTTTTAAATTTTAGAATTACTCACGAGTTTGACCTGTTGCTCAGTGTATATTGCATGTGACCGCTGTACACAATATATTGTCCTCCATCCTTGGCCCTTAAGTTTCATGTTTCAAGTCGTTTGTGACAGTGGGGCAAATCTCTTGACGTGAACACATGGTCTCTTGTACTGTTATGTAGGCGGCGGAGAAAGTTTTAGTAGGTTCGCTGCGCACAATTACGCGCAGAAATGGCCAAAATTCTCGCGCGCATCATGTCATTTAAATTTCGGTGTCCGACCGGCTGTCTAGTCAGTACTCATGAAGTTGCGTTTAATTATCTCAGATCTGAGATCAGCAGTTAGTTCAAGCACCACCTCCGATTTCTCTTGTGCACCAGATTTCGGAGGATCACCACTCTTTACTAATGTCGGATCACTTTTCTCAGATAACGGGAGAATCATATCACATTGGAACCACTGATTATGCGGTAACCAGAATAGCAGAATGCGGTGGATTGGACGCTTACCTTTTGAAAACTCCAGAGGATGAGATTGATTCACAATTCGGAGTTGAGCTGAAGCGGCTCATCCTCACGGTAAACAGTTCATTCGAGACGTCGATAAAATAATACAGTACTCTGTATGATGTAGCGCTATCAAATCAGTCTTTATTCTGATTATAATATGCAAAACAAATTATCATCTCAATAAGTGACAATAACATTATTACTAGGTTTAGTCATACTGATATGAATTTGGGAATAAGCCTTCAATTTCCGCAGATAATAGAGTCAGAAGAATTACTGGAATCTCCCATCACTACAGACGAATGTTTAAGACAATCTCTCAAGTTGGAAGCAATGCTAGGATTCAAACTGTCAACTACCGACAGTATGATTAGTGACGTTTTGCATGAGAAGGATATTGATGATGATGATAATCTTATAGGGAACATTTTTGATCAGTTAGACGATGAGATATGAGCAGTTACTGTATATTTAGAGCACTAATTGAGCTAGTTTTGAATACCGGGCCGAGATGAAATAAAAATTAATGCAAACGTAAACTCAAAACTGTATGATTACACTAAATTAGACACAGAAAATAGTTACTTGAATACTTACAGCAATTTGTGACCCTTGAACCTTAGTATTTGTAGAGGACCAATGACATTTGCATGTTGTTATCAAGCAGATATGTGCAATTATGATGAAACTAATTTATTACTAACTTATGTTTTCATACTTTACGAATTTACCGGTTTATCATAATTTTGTACATTCTTCGCGTTGATAATTTTGAACATCCTATCAAGTTTAAACTCAGAATCAGTCGGGAGATTTATTCGGTTTTCATCCATTCCAACACGACTTGCTAGCCTATGGTTTCTCCAATAGGATGGGTATAACAGGGCTGCTCCCATTCCTCTCCAACATCCACAAGAAAGTGCACGTAGGTCAGTATGCTGGGCGGTGTGTGGCTGTTGATACCTCCTGCTGGTTACATCGCGGTGCTTTCTCCTGTGCTTTCGAGCTTGCTACAGGTATTTGTTACACTATATCGTTACACTTCATCGTTACACTTCATCGTTACAGTTCATCGTTACACTTCATCGTTACACTTCATCGTTACACTTCATCGTTACACTTCATCGTTACACTTCATCGTTACACTTCATCGTTACACTTCATCGTTACACTTCATCGTTACAGTTCATCGTTACATTTCATCGTTACACTTCATCGTTACACTTCATCGTTACACTTCATCGTTACACTTCATCGTTACACTTCATCGTTACACTTCATCGTTACACTTCATCGTTACACTTCATCGTTACAGTTCATCGTTACACTTCATCGTTACACTTCATCGTTACAGTTCATCGTTACACTTCATCGTTACAGTTCATCGTTACAGTTCATCGTTACACTTCATCGTTACAGTTCATCGTTACACTTCATCGTTACACTTCATTGTTACAGTTCATCGTTACAGTTCATCGTTACACTTCATCGTTACAGTTCATCGTTACACTTCATCGTTACACTTCATTGTTTCATCAAACAAATTGTTTGTTTAGATGCAGCAAAATTCAGGTTAGATTCATCGTATTGATAGTATCTAGTTTTACCGGCAAATGTTCATGTTCAAGGTTTGAGTCCAACTCTATTTTCAGGACAACCCACGACAAGGTATGTGAACTACATAGCGAAGCGTATAAAACTACTGCTATATAACAAGGTGTACCCTGTGATGGTGTTTGATGGCTGTAACACTCCCTCCAAGAAGAATACCAATGAAAAGAGAAGGGATGTAAGACAGGTCGGTTATACACAATTTTAGTAATAAACAATGTTATCTAAAATATTTCCTGAGTATTTGCAAACCTCACTCGCTTAATTAATACTTAGTAACGTGATAATATGATTATATTCGAACCATAGAAAGTTCGAACCATAGAAAGCACCTAAAATTATACTTTTATCCCCAGGCTAACAGAGAGAAAGGAAAGAAGTTGCTTGCGGAGGGAAACAAGAGCGGGGCAGTGGACATGTTCCAAAAAGCTATCAGCATCACTAACGATATGGTTGTTGAGGTAACCCCTGGTCTGCTGTTTATTTATGGCATCCTGTTAATTGTTATCTTCATGTTATCTATTTATCTAATGTTTAATTTTCCTAAAACACATCTGTCGTGAAACATATCTGTTTGTCTAGTTTCTCATATCTGTTTCCTCTCAGGTAATAAAGGAATGTAGCGCGATGAATGTCCCTGTTATTGTAGCACCGTATGAAGCCGATGCTCAGATTACTTATCTCGTTAAATCTGGGGTTGTTGATTTCGCTATTACAGAGGATTCCGATCTTCTACCTTTCGGTTGCCAGGTAAGAAGGGAGGATATACTCTTTTCTCATTCTCATGTTTCACGATTTAGTAATGAATTGTGACTACTTTTCATAACTAAATAGATCCACTGCTCTGTGCTCACGACATTATCACCCTCAGAAAGTCCTTTTTAAGATGGACGAGCAAGGGTACGGTATTGAGATAGACTTGTCCGACCTGGGCAAGTCAACTGATGAACCTAGATTCGATGGATGGTCTATCGAAAAGTTCAGGTAATTTAACGTTCAAAATTTATGAGTGTTTTAGCTAGATAGGTATTAGGTAATTGTTGAAGATTTGGGTCGTTTAAGCCTTAAGTGGCTGATATATTCAAGGCATTTTAGTGTTACCAAGATTTTGTATTACCGCGATTAATAAGATAATCGTTTTATCCAATTTAAACAATGATATCGTCATCCATTTCAATTTTGGGTAGTTTGTCCTGATTTATCAGAAACAATCCCGGTGTGATCTTGAAAAGCGAATTAATCACTTTACATAAACTGTTGTTTGCAAATAATTCAAATTAAAACATATGTAAACACATTCTTGGTTGTACATAAAAACCTAATCAATCATGTGCTAACTCAAAATCAAACTTTTACAAACAGAATAGAAAATATTAAATGTACCCAGATTATGTGACTAAAATGACCTCTGCCCCACTGCCCCATTGTACCACTGCAGACTGCAGAACTGTGGTTCCCCAACACACAGCTCTGGAAGCTCACATAATAATCCTCGTCTCTGATCTCCTCCCCTTCCAACGGTAAACACGCCTCCTCCCCATCCCGTTCAGGAATAATATCTCCTTCTAGATCTACTTTCCTGGAGTCACACGTGCAGTTTAGAGTATGATCCGTTATCAGGATCAGATTAGTTTTAGGGACATCTGATACCGTGATCTGAGATAGACAGCCCTGACACCAACTCTCCACTGTAAACTTAGGGAAAGTAGTGTTTCGTTGGTACTGACTGTACTCCTTGCAGCAGTCCATAGTCTTGTAGAGATTACTGTGAGCCGCCTCGGTAATCTGGGAAAGGAGCAGTGCTAACAAGAGGCTCAACAGCTCACTCAACAGAGATATGAACGAGCGGTGAACTCTGAATGCTGAGCTGGTCGGACGTTTGGGTGGCTGAGTGTTGATAACAACCTCACACTCATGAATACACTCCTGATAGTCTATCTTCCTGTACACTCCTTTTCTGTGTAATGTACGGAACAAGGTAGGGTAGCTGAAACCCAGGAATCCAGTCCGATCGTCCAGCGAGGTCATGACAATCATTCCGTTCTCATCAATAAGCATTCTCCTCTCTTCCTTCCCCCTACCAGGAAACAGGAATTGTCGAAATGAGTTTAGATCCACCTCCAGTCCCAGAGCACTTATTTGAGTAGAAGTATTTCCTGTATCGCTCTGAGACTTCATCTTGAGTGGTTTAATAAGGAAAACTACACGAGAGCCACGCTTCTGACCGGTAGAGTTACGAGGACGTCAACATCTTCTAGCTTTCTGCTCGACTTCTTGAAATGGTAAAACAATTTGAAAGATTTCTCGATTTGGGGCTCTTGTTTCCAAGTTTTGTTGCTAAAGAATATGAGTCCGGTATATGTCATCATGAAGTGATTGATCACAGTGACCTCATTCGAGGGATAGAATTGCTGGCTTATATTCTGTGACAGTAGGACATCTGTCAGGACTGAAAACATAAAGGTAGAACAAACATCCGTCTTATTCCAAACAAGTTTATCACCATCCTGCTCGTCTGATCTGGTCTGTAGAAGTTCTTTTATCTTGCATGCGTTCTCCTCAAAGTCATAGTATATTTTCTCACCCCACGACTCAATGATACGGTTTATAGTTGGTATGTGGAGATACCCCTTGTTGTACATGTAATACTTCTGAGGGTAAGAAGTCCAGATAACAGCCATGGACAGGGGTGTCTGATGGAGGGGAAATACCTGAAATACCAGGGGTTGATACCAGTCCCGACCATGATGCTCCGAGTGAGACTCCTCCCCCCTCCCACCATTCTCTGACGTGTTGAATAGCTGGGCGTTGAGGAATGTTGGGAACTCTTCACCACCTTTCCCTTGTCAATCATCACCTTCTCCAGATCAAACAAGTCACGGTTGTTCTCCTTGGTGGATTGGAACTTGTTGAGTCTGGTGTTGACTCTGTCGTAAGAGTACTGTGAGATCCGGGGGTGGTATATTGGATATCCCTTGTTGTTAACTATCATTAACACACATTGAACCGGCAACACGCTCCCACTTATCCTAACTATTCTAGAAGCTTTGAAGTCCAGTCCTACGATACCCAAGAAAGTGGTTGGAGAGGCGTTAGTGATGCTCCTCTGGGAGGGGGAGGAGTCCACCACTAGAGGTAGAGTAGCTGTCACCACCATCCCAACCTCACCTAGATCTTTATACGCATTACTCCAGGTCGGGGTGATGTCCTGTCCTTTTAACGGCTCATTCCCTGTCTTCACTATCTCCTGCAGGGCTGTATCTATGTCTCCGTAACTTAGGATCTTGTTGTAACTACCCGGTGGTTGCACGCTGTTTGTTGAAGTCTGTCTTTGTAGAAAGCCTCATTTCTTCTGAAGGACAAAGAGTAAACTCGTACACGTTTATCAGAGTTTAACCTGTAAACTATCTCATCAACCGGCTGGGTTATCTCATCAGACATTATAACCACAGCTTTCTCGCACTGAGCCGTGTTGTGGTTAGAGTCCAGGGTTTGGAAGGCTAGGTTTAGTCCTGATTCCCACCTCGCAGTGCCACCTACCTTTCAGCCGGTCTATCTCATTATACATCAGGTTCTTTGTTTGCTTAGTAGCACGCATGAGCTGTTTGTGACAGGTTAGGAACGAGGCTGACTCTCCAACTTTAATCGCAGCTATGAAATCCATATCAGATATAATCTGCTCCACAACTCTCTGAAAGTTGCTTTCATCAATACCAGCGGGCGACCATCCATACTCCCACTAACATCCACCAGTACCATCACATCCTTAGGACAGCCTATACCAGCGTTGTACCAGGGCCGCTTCCTGACATCGAAGTTAGTCCTGCTGAGAGGGTAGAGAGACATGGCCGGGTAGGTCCTCATTACTCCCTGTGGGGTGCCGATATACTGCCAGACTAGGTAGTCTGAGTGGTTCTGATAGTTCCTGATAAACACCTCCTCCATCTTATTGCTCCATTGTATCGTGTTCCTGTAACGGTGTTACAATTAGTCTGAGTGGTTCTGATAGTTCCTGATAAACACCTCCTCCATCTTATTGCTCCATTGTATTGTGTTCCTGTAACGGTGTTACAATTAGTCTGAGTGGTTCTGATAGTTCCTGATAAACACCTCCTCCATCTTATTGCTCCATTGTATCGTGTTCCTGTAACGGTGTTACAATTAGTCTGAGTGGTTCTGGTAGTTCCTGATAAACACCTCCTCCATCTTGCTGCTCCATTGTATCGTGTTCCTGTAACGGTGTTACAATTAGTCTGAGTGGTTCTGGTAGTTCCTGATAAACACCTCCTCCATCTTATTGCTCCATTGTATCGTGTTCCTGTAACGGTGTTACAATTAGTCTGAGTGGTTCTGGTAGTTCCTGATAAACACCTCCTCCATCTTGCTGCTCCATTGTATTGTGTTCCTGTAACGGTGTTACAATTAGTCTGAGTGGTTCTGGTAGTTCCTGATAAACACCTCCTCCATCTTGCTGCTCCATTGTATCGTGTTCCTGTAACGGTGTTACAATTAGTCTGAGTGGTTCTGGTAGTTCCTGATAAACACCTCCTCCATCTTGCTGCTCCATTGTATCGTGTTCCTGTAACGGTGTTACAATTAGTCTGAGTGGTTCTGGTAGTTCCTGATAAACACCTCCTCCATCTTATTGCTCCATTGTATCGTGTTCCTGTAACGGTGTTACAATTAGTCTGAGTGGTTCTGGTAGTTCCTGATAAACACCTCCTCCATCTTGCTGCTCCATTGTATCGTGTTCCTGTAACGGTGTTACAATTAGTCTGAGTGGTTCTGGTAGTTCCTGATAAACACATCCTCCATCTTATTGCTCCATTGTATCGTGTTCCTGTAACGGTGTTACAATTAGTATGAGTGGTTCTGGTAGTTCCTGATAAACACCTCCTCCATCTTATTGCTCCATTGTATTGTGTTCCTGTAACGGTGTTACAATTAGTCTGAGTGGTTCTGATAGTTCCTGATAAACACCTCCTCCATCTTGCTGCTCCATTGTATCGTGTTCCTGTAACGGTGTTACAATTAGTCTGAGTGGTTCTGGTAGTTCCTGATAAACACCTCCTCCATCTTGCTGCTCCATTGTATCGTGTTCCTGTAACGGTGTTACAATTAGTCTGAGTGGTTCTGATAGTTCCTGATAAACACCTCCTCCATCTTGCTGCTCCATTGTATCGTGTTCCTGTAACGGTGTTACAATTAGTCTGAGTGGTTCTGGTAGTTCCTGATAAACACCTCCTCCATCTTATTGCTCCATTGTATTGTGTTCCTGTAACGGTGTTACAATTAGTCTGAGTGGTTCTGATAGTTCCTGATAAACACCTCCTCCATCTTGCTGCTCCATTGTATCGTGTTCCTGTAACGGTGTTACAATTAGTCTGAGTGGTTCTGGTAGTTCCTGATAAACACCTCCTCCATCTTATTGCTCCATTGTATTGTGTTCCTGTAACGGTGTTACAATTAGTCTGAGTGGTTCTGATAGTTCCTGATAAACACCTCCTCCATCTTGCTGCTCCATTGTATCGTGTTCCTGTAACGGTGTTACAATTAGTCTGAGTGGTTCTGATAGTTCCTGATAAACACCTCCTCCATCTTATTGCTCCATTGTATCGTGTTCCTGTAACAGTGTTACAATTAGTCTGAGTGGTTCTGGTAGTTCCTGATAAACACCTCCTCCATATTATTGCTCCATTGTATCGTGTTCCTGTAACGGTGTTACAATTAGTCTGAGTGGTTCTGATAGTTCCTGATAAACACCTCCTCCATCTTGCTGCTCCATTGTATCGTGTTCCTGTAATGGTGTTACAATTAGTCTGAGTGGTTCTGATAGTTCCTGATAAACACCTCCTCCATCTTATTGCTCCATTGTATCGTGTTCCTGTAACAGTGTTACAATTAGTCTGAGTGGTTCTGGTAGTTCCTGATAAACACCTCCTCCATCTTGTTGCTCCATTGTATTGTGTTCCTGTAACGGTGTT